CCACTGAACTTCTCCATTTTCTGTTCGACTCCACTTTCAACTTTCCTTTCTTCGCCTATTCTTCATCCCAATGGGCAGCCAAAAGACAGCAACCAAAACCGGCGCACGAAAGTGCATGGTTAATGGTTGTTCAAACTGAAAAACTGAAGAGCAAAACTACTCATGAATAGAAAATCAATACATAGGTGAACTGATTGATCAGTAGACTGAGGTTTATTCAAGCAACGAGACTGAGCTTGATCAATGAGTATAAAACTGTATGGGTTAGTGGCTTATGGATAGAGGCAAACGCAAATCTTTCCAGTTTTCGTTTGACCTACCTACATGCGTATGGATTATTGGCAACTAACTGATCACTTCGGATTGCAATGAATAAAAACATGAGGGTAAAACGTATTACGCACGCAACGGTAGGTATTGACAACAACGAAATCGACCACCAGTGACCACCAGTGTAACTCACTTTGAGCTGTAATAGAGCCAAAGCGATGCGGAATAACACCACAGATCCATCGTAGAAAAACAAATCCCATATTCGTAAAGTGACAGCAGTTGGACAGACACTTGAGTAGAGAGTGAGGAACCATTGTAGTGTGATCAGGGGAAGATCTGTAATGAAAAGAGGGGAAACAGACATCCGTCAGAAGGGAAGGCAATTGATCCAGTTATTTGAACTAAAAAGAAACACGAAATGACCCGAGACGCCCTTCAAAGTAATATGGGCAAGGACAGGAGAACTAGGAACAGGTATTCCCGAGGTTTCAATGGAACTCGGAAATATTGCGTCTTGTCTGGATACGTTCAGATTACCTCTCTAGAATGACGGCATTCGTTAACCGAAACAAATTCGTCACGGTTAGAACGACAGAGCTGATTGTGTCATCTGTCCACTTGTCAGAACACTGACTTAATGAACCTATGAAAAAATCGTTCCCATTTATGTGATCGGTCTTATGAACATTCACGTGGCAACAAGTTGCCGCCAGTCCTCCTCCTCCCGCCCAAAAAAAACGAGTTGTTTTCTTCGTATCGGTGACACGACTCCAATGAGATTAATGATTTCGATTAAACTCACACCATAACTCTAGGAACAGTGTGTATGCAACAGGAACGCCCATATCAGTCCAGGTTACTGTTTTCGTACAATGACTGGATTCCAGCGCTGCTTAAAAACGATCACCAATTAGCAATAATGGACAGTTGTTTCAATTTTTTCTTTTTTCTTTTTTTTTTTATGGGCGGGGGGAGGGCAGAGTCAACAGCTAATGCGAATAACAACTCACCAATCTGATGTTCTTTCAACAACTGATCCAATCGAGGCAGATACAACGGAAGCAGGTGACAAAGAACCGCTTGATCGGCTTGAACACCCAACAAACTGAGTGAGGAATAGTAGGATGGGGGCAGTAGATCCTCAACAATGCTGCACATCATCCAAAATGCAGTTTCCTCTTCTAGACAGAGGAGCAGGTTAGCTGCAATCTGATTGGATCGTAGCGATCAAAATGATCGGGGACGAGGGGCGGGGCGGGGGGGGTCGGAGCAGATAAGAGAACAAAGATTGAATTACCCGAGAAGTATGACGGGTCAAAGAACAACAGTCCCCGCGGTTCCAAACAAGACAGTCAAGTACGAATCTGACGTCCCAGATGTGACAAATATGCACCGTTCGAAATAAGTTACCGTATTTAACCAGTGAGAACAGCTTTACTGTATTTTGGAGAGTGACGATTGTGATAATGATGATTAAAGAAGCCCGGTTGAATGGAAAAACTGTGAACCTGAAAATGACCCCACTCGCCAAGATAGTTCAGTTCAGTTCAGTTAAGTTTGTAGAACCATTAACCATGCACTTTTGTTCGCCGGTTTTGGTTACTGTCTTTTGGGCTGCCATCTACGTGAAAAATAGGAGGAAAACGGGATTCGTGTAATTCTGCGTAGACAGCGGTGTTTAAACACCGACAGTCTGTCTTTATCCTGTTTTCTTAATGGCCAAGTTTCTGCACCGTATAGCAGGACTGGCCGAACTGTCGCGGCATACACTCGACCCTTCACAGACAGCCGGATGTCGCGACGGCGCCACAGATGTCTCAAGTTAGCAAATGCCAACCGAGCCTTCTGTATGCGAGCTGACACTTCATCCGTGATGCGTCCACCGGGTGAGATGTAGCTGCCCGGATAACAAAACTTATCCACCTGCTCTATTACTTCTCCAGTTAGAGTAAGGCTCTGGGTGCTGGACCGACCCAGTCTTGTAGTAACATTTTACACTTTGAAGGTGCAAAACGCATACGGAATATGGCTACACCGGCATTCAGATTATCCAGAAAAGCTTGCAACTTACCTGGATCTTCACATGGTAGCACAATGCCGTCTGCATACTCTAGGTCAGACAGCCTGTCACCTGGGAGTAAAACGATGCCACTATCCTTGCACGAGTATAGAGCTATTCCCATATACAAATCTATAAAAAGATAAGTACAGTTCATCAGGAACTCAACAGAAACGCATAACGAAGAAGACTTACATCTCACTGTGCTACTGCTTTTGGTCAATCTGCATCTGGGTCAAAGGACCATTAAAAGACTGGATACATAAACAAACTCAGAAATCTGTCTCCATCAAGCAGATGACAGTACTCACATATAATCTGGCACAAACTTTCACTTCGTATTGTTTCGTTATTACTGCTTAAAATGCAGTGAAATAGTCCTCATTACTGATCATACACTACACATATCGGTCATCTTTTACTCCACCACTGTGGGATGTGCAAGCATGAGAATGGCCTGGCCAGTTGTGTGTGTATGAAACGTATATCCCGGGGCTTGTAGTGACGAACACCCTCAGCCTTTTACCGTCTCAGTGTCGTCGACACCTGAACAAACATGAATTGGCAATTCGGTTCAGCCCTGGCATGAGCTCGCTGACACAATATTAATACACATGCCTTCCATGTGATGGGTCCGGAGTCCAAATCCCAGACGGGACGGTGGATATGCACTACGGATGAGCTCTAATAAGAGCGAAACTCGAGTCTATACTGCTTCCGAATGTCTGGTTGACTGCAAGAGGTGGGAAATGTGCGTGGGGGTGAACTCTGAAGGATGGCCAGTTCTAATCAACCAGTCAATATAAACTATCCCACACCACTACTACTGAGGAGTAACTGTGAGTTAAATGTGAAGCCTTTTATCACCGAAATTGAATGTGGATGTCAGTGTCTTTTAGACCTCAGCAGTAAGCGAATGACAGCGGTTGGAATCGGTCGACAAAGACAACAACAACTACCACTACCGGCACAACCAATTACATGAATTCAGTCATTTTAAAAATGCCCAATGAAATCTAGTGTTGTGATAAGATCATAGCCCCGGAAAATATCAGCTGCATTTGTGCATGCCCATGGTAGATCCTTTTAAGACGATTTGCCGTCACAGAACGTTCAACTGACATTCACGTGTATCAATCGAGTGCTTCAGGATTGAAGCAGTGATCAAAAATGGAGCTTTATTCACAGGATTTGAGATTTCTCTCACAGAAGAACATTTTGTTAAGTGCTATCATTGAGTATCGGAACAAACACTGAAATGTGTGGCCCGTATGGCTGAAATCGATGGCCGACTCAAAAGAGTTCACACAGAAATCCGCAGCCCGTATTGATCGTGATGCAGTTCGATCAAAATCGAATCAGCTTCTAATGACCATTGATTGATCCGTTTCAGAAACGAGGAGAATTTCAAGACAACAAACCAGTTCAATTAGAAGGATGGGGAAAAGTGATGATATGTATGGTTTTCGGAGGGAAATACAAGTGTGCCAAATGATACATTGTATCCAATTTCATGTCAAGCTGTCTAACTGGCACAAATCTAATCTGATTGGCTGTCACGGATCGTGTGTAGCTTTTCTTATTCAACAAGTGAACAGTTCATATTACGATTTGGAAAAATTTGCCAGGATTTTTTTTGCTGACGAACAAAGAATATACTCCGTTCACTCAGAGAAAGAGATGGCAACGAAATCACCTTACCAATTTCATGAGGATAAAAATACAAGTCAGTGTAAGTATAATGTACTTCTAGATTGAGACAATTGTACTGAAAATTTGGAAATTACCGTGGTGGGGATGAATGCAGGTGGTGCATGAAGGCAGTGTATACTGAATCTACTTCTTTCAGTCCTGTCTTGGAGTCAAAAAGCACTCCGTGAACAACTATGAGCCAGAACCGGGATGTTACATAGGTACATCGGTCAAATGATGATCACTTTCCACTTATCTAATTCTGCCATCAAATGGGACAACTGTTTAATGAACCTCGGCTGCTGAACACAGCAAGGCAACTGGCTGGACTACGTCGTCCGGTCGAAAAACAGAACAGAAGTGTTGTAAAACCTGATCCCTAAACAGTGATTAAAATACCGCCCTGGCGTCACTAGTGCCCTAAACAGGAAAACTCCAGTTTTGATTTTGTTGTCCGGGGTATAACCTCACCCACCAAATTAAAACCGTCTGCTATATCATTCAGGAGGGATACAAACCTGCAGACTACATCAAAATGGTTGGGATCTAGGTAGATAACAGATACAGCCGTCTGTGAATCTTGCAAAAAGCACTGGTGTTTTTTGTTAGACACCGTGGTGTGATAAACAGCAGACGGGTTGGACTCTGTAGTCAGTTCAGTCATAGAAACCGGTAACCTAAACCACGTGACTTCCAGTGGTGAATCCCGTTAGGTGGTGGCCTGATGGTAACGTCACCAAATTACCACCTCAGGGGACGTGTGTTCGAACCCCACCACCACCGCCTGACTTTCCCCACGGCAGCCCTTTGATTGGTCGCTCCCCCCTTCCGGAAAATTGTATAATTGTGTATTTAGTAACTGCAAGTAAAATTAAAAAGAACGGAAATAAAAAAAGGTTAGGCGTGGTGCACAACCGGACGATAGCACAGCTGTCTACCACCAAAGTTGGGTGGCGTAGCACGTCGATGATAACAACTAAACCAAGAAGTACATACATAGTATATGGGTACAGTAGAGTTTGACCCCGTCCAAACGGCGTATGATCCGATGAACAGAACACCGGTCTCCAATGGACTGTGGTTTTCCTCAAACCGCCCAGCCGCCTTGCAGGTCAAGGTTAGACTAGCCGAAAGCTCCGGTTGTGAATTTCCCAAGAAAATTTACATGCTTTGGTCTGGGCAACCTGGAAGTGGCAAGTCCACAAACATACGTTTCCTGGGTACAAGTATATGCATGAAAAAAGACAAAAGATTACCGGATACGCATGTCTGACAAGCGGCAAGAAACGCGAAACGGGTGGTGTGCTTTCAGGGAAACTTTGTCCAGTCATTCATATACTACTTATGGAAAACACAAGAGTGCGATAGATTTTTCGGAAGGGGTCTTTGAAAGGGGGATAAGGTCTGAAATTGGTTTTCAGAACATTGTTCACAAGGAAATATGGAGATTACCAACGGTAACGACAATTGGTCAAAGATTTTCTAATATGGAGCTCTCGAGGTAACAATATGCGTCACATATACTAACTATAGTACTGATCTTTGTAATTCATGATAAAATTCAACTAGATAATGACGAGGAAAGGTTTGACAAACATATCAGCGAATGGTGTAGAGCAAACAATGCTCCTAATGGTTCTTCCAATATCGTGAGAAAAGGCGCGAAGTACACTGTTCACCAAAGGAAACCACGTTAAACAGACTAAGAACCTGGGATTCTACGATTTGACCGAGCCCAATTATACTACTTACATGATACCAGCTAACGGTTGCATGGGCGGAAATCAGAATGCACACTGTAGAGGTCAAACAGATGTGCTTTTGACAAAGTACTAAAACTCGGTTCTCGTAGCTCGGGTGAACTGAATTCCATTTCGCCTGTTTGACAATTTGTTTGCAAACGTTTCATCACCAACAAAGGTGACAGTATCGGTGCTTGTGAAGTGGCGGTGTTGTGCTTGACCCGTTCGACTACTTTTGTCCCTTATTCTCACTGTGTTCGACTCGGTTGGGAGTTAAACTGGTGCGAGGGGATGGGGTTATCCGTCCACCCTGATTGCGGTTTCGGTCCGTTCGCAGGTCACGCCGTGACCTTTTGTCGTTGCGTCATTTGATCTTTGAGTTGCATAGGCGCGTACACGTGATCCAGTTCGATGTGCCTGTTTATTGAGTTGTTTGAAGATTGCCAAACCTCGAGAAATTCTCTAGCGTGCTTTGATCGGGCTTGGTCGATAATTCTCACTGATTCGGAGTCAAACTGATGTCCTTCTTGGTCTTCATGGAGGGAAATCAACGATAATTGGTCATGTCTCCAGACTGCCGATTGGTGTTCACGGATCCTTGTTGACAGTTTTCTTCCAGTTTGTCCGATACAATGTTTTGGGCAGTTCTTGCAATTCATTTTGTAGGTAACACTGCTCTTGTCCTTCTCCATTGTTCTCTCCTTTGGTTTTGACAG